TTCCAAGACTGATGCTCGTACATCATAAGCTTAAAAACAAATGCCTACGAAGAAGTGCATTCTAGAAAAGGCTGCTGTGATATGTTAGGAACATTATTCATAGTAAATTACTGAAATAGACCTACTAACTCTTTCACTTCTCTGAAAATAAAATACATAAATGCAAACCATATCCTGTCATATCCATACGTTTTGTAGTATTGAATGTGGAAGTATGAGTTTCAGTGCCTGCAGACTAAAGACTAGATCTACTGGCCTCACATATTATAAACCCTTTCCATCTGTCGGAAGATAGAACAAAAATCTGTCACTAAAACATCATAAACAATTTGTAATGAGGTGAGATTTCAGGGTTTCATAGCGGTGAGCATGAAGATGACTGTCTTTAGGAATGTTGTGCCTTGCAGTTGTGTACCAGCGTTTCAGAGGTGCTTGTTACCCCATCATCGGGGCGATGTACATCCACAGAAATGTTTAATGTGACCTACTTTTAGATTATTTGACGATGCTATTTCAACTGCATAGGTAATAAGGTATTGATTAAATAAGAAGATAATCATAAATGTTTGTGTTTGTTTAGTTACGGTCTGTTAACAACACTGTCAGTAACAGACTATATATCATCGAATTATTAATGAATCAGAAACAATGTGGGCGGAAATGGTTGCGGTATAATTTAAGGTACTATTCCGGCAATTTCCTAGAGTGACTGAGGAAAATCACTTAACCCTCAGTCAGGATATTTGGTCTCCGGGCCGAGATTTGAGCTCGGGCCCTCGCGAAGCAGGAGTGATAACCACTCGGCCACTATGTTCGAATCAGCAATGGCGGGTAGTCAAGGATTTGGAAGAATAGGTTTGAAGATACTTGGAGAAATGTAGAAAATTCTAAGGATACTCAACAGCCAGGCGAAGACTGAATCCAATACTGTTCAACATAATACTAACTCTGTGAAAGAGAAGTCTCAAAGTCGATTTACTCCTTAAATAAGTGTATTGTTATTGCGAAATCGAATTTAACAGGAGGTTAGTTTCTGAAATTACAAATTTCCATTCTCACAATAAACTAAGAAAATGGGAATAATTTTCTTCGCTTGTAATTATACTTTACAATCAGCGTGCCGAGACTTGGAGAAAACTCTAGAAATTCTCTTAACTTCGGTCGTCAAGTTTCACGTTATTCAAGTTCTCGATAACGTCAGCTCTGGGAAGCCCAGCAAGGAACAGGTCGGACGTTTGATGATCGGAACCTCCCTAACATCACACGACAGATCGAGAGGTGTGAGGTCTCAACCCTCGACAGTAATTACCTACCAATTATCTTTGTAAGCCGCACCAGAACGTCTGCATTTCGAGTCATTTCCAAAGAGAACTCAAAGGAAGAGAGCAGTTGGACGGCTTCACCGAACGCGCAAACTTTGAAACGTCGCTTCGCTGAAGACTAGAGTGACTTAACTAACAACCTTCACTAACACATGTTTAGATGATCAAAAATTCAGAACAAGAAAATAACACGAAGTGAACCTACTTTAGCTCTTCAAATCCTTCTAAGCAGTAGTGAAACCTGAACAACGAGAACACAATCCAATTGTATAATCAACATTACTAAAGTTTAATTCATAACATGGGCTGCAAATATAGAAAGAATGATTACAAAAGGAACAGAGACATTTTGGATGAACTAAAGACCGCAAATGTACTAGTAATAATTTGTTACTACAAAAATAAATTGATATATCACACTGACAGATTGCAGAGGATGGACACTCAGCCCCAAATTAATGATAACCTACACAATGGAACAAGAAGCCAAAGATGATCTTGAAGAGACTGTTAGGTTACAGATGCTGGAATGGATCCTCGCGTTTATTGTATTTATGATTTTGTTCGCCACGGTGGTCTAGCGGTCAGAACACTAGCCTTGTAAGCCTGGGGTCCCGGGTTCAATTCCCGGTGGTGCTCAAATTTATAACTTGTGTTGGGCAAGGCCGTGGTCTAGGCATCACGGAGTTTTCCTCCGGGGGCTTTCCCGGTTTCTCCGTGGCATCCCAACAATTACTCCACTCACACACAGAAGAAGGCAATGGCAAACCACTTCTGATCATCTCTGCCAAGAATGTATATATGTATGAGCAGGTCCCTGACAACCTGAAGAGGTTGGAAGGATCCTGTTCATAATATATGGACCTGTCGTCAGACAGAACACTACAAATAAAAAAAATTAAAAAAATTATGATTTATTTAACGATTCTGTCAGTAGCTCCAACTGTATATGATAATGAATAAATAATTAACTGGAAAGGTTACAGAAGGAAGCAGTCGTGGCCAGTTTAAAGTACGGTTATCCCGGTGGAACGAGCCAAGAAACGGTTCAGAAGCCCGGAAATTTGTTGAGGATGGCAGTGCCATAGTTCAAATGGTTAGACACCGGGTTCTCACCACGGGTCCCCAAGTTTCAGTAGGTTAGACCAGCCTGCGTGTTATTACGTCAGAATAAAGAAGTTAAATGCAACACTTGGTCTCCTTTCATACGATTCTACAAAATCTCTTTCGTGAATGAATAACGTAATATTAAGATGGCTGACTTCTGGGTTGTTGTTGTTGGTATAAGTTTATCTGACTACACGGCCCAACACCACCGTCAAAACCTCAAACCCTACTTACGTAATATTATTTCCATATGCCTTATGTAGTGCACACAAAGACTCCCCTGAAAATAAGAACTTGCTTTAGAAGTTGAATAAACAAACATTTCCGGTTCGTGTTTCGTTCTAAGTCGATTCACTTTGCCACCAACGTACTGAGCGTCATTCTAAGAAAACACCCCACACCCTCGTCAGTCAATTCTAAACCCTCCCCCGCACCCAAAGTCGTATCCGCAAATGCATCTACTAACAACCAATGAACAAGCAACCAGAATCACTTTTTCCCCTCGAGAATAGTGGAACATTCATGAGCTAAAGCTTGGTAACTGGTCTGTTTTCACACACAAGAAGTCCGTGTGACTTCTGATAGGCCTATGCACGCAATAAATACAATCCCATTCCCCATTTGAAATTTATCAAAATGGTGTTAATTCTTACGTCCGAAATATCTGTCACACTTCTAAAGAGAATATAAGCCTATTGCGCGCACTCTCAAATTTAAATGCGGATTCTAATCAGTCACCACTAGACAGTAATAATGCGCAAGTTTCGAATGGGAAACCTATGTTTTATAAAACACCGTTACAGTGCCAGCACCAAACTCCTCAATGAAAAATACATTTGTGTGACCAATCTCGATGTCTTAGTCCTATTTTAAAGTAAAATATAACATAACCTTAAATAAAATTTAATTAAATGTAACAATATAAGACATTGCACTATAAAATTACATCGGTATATGTTTCGTGCTGTTTTCTGATGTTTGTGCGATAGGCCACTTTCGAGTTGAGCCACATATCAAGTTGGAATAATTCTGGACCGATAAGAATCAAAACCAAATTGTGTTCAATAATTCCAATTATAAAAGAATCAAATTCGCCTGACAACGCCTGGTGTCGAAACTCCTAATCAAATACAATCAAAATCAGCCGATAATTCTAGATAGAACACGCAAATGGGCAGAGAAGACACATACAATTTCCCCATTGATGTAAACAACGCATACAACATGGCGTTGGAGTCTCATGTAGGCCAAATCCGCATCGTCTCACAAAACTCGTTTTCTTTTCCAAAACAAGTCTAAAAATAACGTTTCTTGTTTGGAGAAATCAATACACTGAAAATTGATTACAGGGATGCTGCTATAACCTGACACCTTCAAGGCCATCTAATGCACTTTCATATCCTCTTACACATCATCGTCTTGCTGAAATGTTAACAACGCATAAAGTCATTGATGTCTGATACTTCCGCGTGAAAGTGATGCTTATTATTGGCTCCATTGAATGTAAATAGCCACAAGTGCTTGTAATTCTTGACATTATTGGGCAGATGAAACAAATCCTTCGAATTGTTTTATGTTCTCATATAGAAAGCGTCGTCCTCTGAACACATGCCAATTATAATTGACTTGTTCAGAAGTCAGCCAGTGTCAGAAGTTCGGTAAATCACATTCAAGACAAGAAGCATAACCATGAAGAACAGTTTTAAGTCGGGGCGGGGGGGGGGGGGGGGGTTTTGG